AGAGTTAAACGTGACATACCTGCTCAGAACAAAATCAGAAGCCAATACCTGATAATCAAACACGCCTCTGAATCCCAAATGTGCTATCGGATCAAATCTCACATCAACGATATGACCAAGTGCTGGGTAGCCAAACATTCGACTCAACCCAAAATCTGAAGCAGCTCCACCAGATCCAAAATCTCTACATGCAGCAGTCGGCAACCTATACATAAGATGGCCCAAACATGTCGTAGCCCGCACACCAATGCCATTGCTCGACATCAAACGCCAATCCTCCTCCAAAAAGGAACAGCTCCCCAAATCTGCCATCTCATCTCGTCGCCTCAAAGTTTCCACACCAATGAAGTGTCTCCAATTACCGTGAGCTCGGCACAAATGCAGAAATAGGTCCCTCTTGTACCTCCCTCTAACATCAGACTGAAGTACCTTCACCTTTCTGCCAATACACTTCCTCCATTTGTTACAGGCTTCTAGGACTTCACACCAACGAGACTTGGTTGCAACCCACCAATACCTAGAGCAATCCCCAACTGCAGAAACCACATGCCTATTACCTCCCAATGATGTTCTCTTGGAAGGCCCCCGAATGCCTGAATGAACACCCCTCAGAAGACCCCTCGAATGATGGATAGAAGTGCCTGAATGAACACCCCTCAGAAGACCCCTCGAATGATGGATAGAAGTGCCTAACTCCACCTTGGTCTTCTTGCTCATACTAATGGGTTCACAGGACTTCCGAATGATGGATAGAAGTGCCTAACTCCACCTTGGTCTTCTTGCTCATACTAATGGGTTCACAGGACTTCAAACTGCAGGTCAAAGCACTCCTCAATAACCTATGCACGGTAGTACCAATCAAATAACCCAGCATCAAACAACGCCACAGTCTAGCCGAATCTGATGAAGTCGCCATCTCCCTATTAATCGCCGTGCTTCCAAGCAAATAATACAAATTGCTTCTTCTGACGCCCTTCATAACAATCATGGACCCCCCAATGTGACCTTCAAACGTGCATCCTCCAAGGTTACTTTATAGCCAGATGCCACCAAAGCTCCTAGTGAAATGATGTTCTTCGACAATTGCGGAACGAACCTCACTTCATTCAAATCCTGAATCACTCCGTCATACATCCGAATACGAATAGTACCAATACCACCAATAGAGCATGCATGTCCATTACCCATGAGTACAACATCCTCTCTTTCCAACTTCTAAAAGCTGGAGAACTAATCCCTCCTAGGGCAAACGTGGTATGAAGCACCCAAATCCAACATCCACTCTGTAGAGTTGGCAACACAAACTGACGGTAGTGCAGACAACGAATAGCCTGAAGAATCCGAATCTGAATTGTTGCCACTAGTCTTGACAACATTCACCTCTGAAGCTTGTACAGCTTTCCCCTTATTCTTCCTAGCTCGATCTAACTTTGGGCATTCTGCTTTCCAATGTCCATCCTCTTTACAAAAGGCACACTGATTCCTATGAATCCCACGATGTGCACCTCTAGACTGCGACCTTCTGCTTAGGTTTGAACCACGGTCTTGAACTACTAACGCATCTCCCGATGCCTTCTCGGATGACTCATCAACACTCTTCCTCAACTCATAATTCACCAACGCTGAGGTCACCTCCTTGTAACTAACAGTAGTTCTTTCATTAATCATAGTTAGGACAAAAGTACCATAATCATCATCGGGCAACGAATACAAAAGTAGCATCGCCTTGTCTTCATCCTCAACCATGATATCCACATTAGCCATGTCTGAAAGTAGCTTTGTGAAGTTGTTAACATGCTCCCTAATGGAAACTCCCCTCTTCATCTTGAACTGGTAAAACCTCTTCTTCAAGTGAAGCCGATTCTCAATGCTCTTAGTCAGATACTTTTCATTGAGCGTTTTCCACATCTTCTTCGCCAACGTCTCGTTCATCACGTCATAAATAAGATCCGGCATCAAGCATGACCGAATAACTCCACACGCCCTACTATTCATCTTCTTCCAAACCTTAGCTTCCATATCGGCAGGTTTCTCTTGTAACTCAAGAGTCTCCTCCAAATTCTGAGCGTCCAAGGCGTCCATCACCTGACACCTCAACAATCCGAAATTAATCTTGCCGTCGAACTTCGGAACATTAATCTTCATGTTATTGATGCTCAAATTATGTATCGTCTTCGTAAAAGACGATCCCGATGTGCTTGTTTCACCCATGTTGTCGATCTAATCTTCAAATAGGAATCCTTCAGTGAATCCTTCAAACAAGCTCCCAAGTCCAACCCGGAGCTCTGATACCACTTGTTGTGCGCAGCGAAAATTTTGGCAGCACCTTCGGTGCGCAAGGTGCACAACAAGAGATTAGATCACAACGAAATTCTTGTTTCTCAAAGGAAACAAGAACCGAAAGCCAGATATCTCATCAAAGTGAGATATCAGCTCTTCATCTCGTCAGCTCTAGGACTGCGCGTCGAGGGAACCTACAAGCTATTACAAATCATGGCAAGAATACAAATTTTACGTGATTCGGCAAATTGCCTACGTCCACGGGGCAAGGAGGGGGAGATCTACTACTAGAGGGAGAGAATACAAGTAGGGTTTACAATCACTCAATTAAACCCTCACACAAACTCTCAAATCCCTCACAATATCTCTCTACAAAAGGATGCACAAAACCCTAAAAAGGATTACACAAAATCTCCTCTGTACTTGTGCGCTGCCAATGAAGAAACAAAACCGACTCTGTTCCTTCTCGCAGGCAAATCCTTTTCTCCGTAGCCATAAAATAATTCCCTGCAGCGGAAACTACTCGCTCTGCGCCTCTGTTCCGCAGCCACAAAAAGAAAACAAAACCTCCTTTTCACACTTCCCAAAAGAAAACCTAAGGAATATATACAGCACAGCGGACAATCGGGTGGGCCGTGAAATTGTCCGTGTGAACTTCCGTGTTCACACTATGGTGAACTTTGTTGCTCTGCGTGATTGTGATGTTAGTGGGCCCTCCCACGTTCACAATTTGGGTTATGGGCCCACACAGTTCCTTCATCAATTCAATTGGATTTTGATCATATATGTTCTTATTTTTATCGGGTCTGTGTTTTACTTTGTGCTTGTATAGGTTAGTGAAGAAGTGGAGCGGGCTTTAGCAAAGTTGGGTCCTGCTAGACTTGGTGGAAGGTGCGGGATATTGACACTTGTTGTTGGATATGTTCTTGCTTTATAATTTAACTCTATTAATACTTACTGCTGGATACATCCTTGCTTTAGAACTCTATATCATCTTATTTTATGGATTATATATTCATGAGTAACATTCGCCTACTCTAGCCATTTTTGTTATCGTCATGTGGAAGTAAGAAACTTGTGTGTGGTTCGATTTTGATGGTACATCTGCAATTGGAAATTAAAATATGCTAATAAACATCATGGTTTATTTTGCAATGACGTGATCTTATTTTACTGGGTTTTGTTCAGCCTTTTAGTTTTAAGGCTGCTTAAATATAAGTCCTGTTTAATCTTTTGGTCACATTGAATTTCTTATTTCCTACCTCATATCATGGTTACCTGAAGGATATCCATTTATGCATCTTTGTGGTCAGGTAACATTTATGTCTTACGTTAATACTTAAGTATGAAGCATTTCTCAGAGCTCAAGAGCATTTTATTTGACAGCACTCAAATTTGAAAACATTACCATGTTAGCTTTTTTTTTTGGTGATGCGGTTACTCATTCAAGTTCATGTATTGTACTTTATTCATATCATTTTTTTCTTAACTTTATTTTATTTTAATATGTTTGATTACTCATTCAAATCTAAACCTCTTATATCATACATCACATGAATCAGGTCTCCTCCAAAGCAAATACAAGGTCCAGAAGAAAGAAACTTACAGTTGCATTTCAGGCCAAGGTTGTCCTTGCGCCTGTTTACGGGAGGTGATCTGAAGGGGTGCAGGGAGCTACAATTCATGTTGTATTGCTCGATGCAAATACTGTCCATGTTGTTACATCAGGAACTGAGGCGTCTATAAAATTAGACATTGTTGTTCTTGAGGGCGATTTCAACAATGAAGATGAAGATGGCTGGACGAAGGAAGAGTTTGAAAGCCATGTAGTCAAAGAACGAGAATGAAAGAGGCCACTGTTGATTGGGGATTTGCAGGTATCACTTAAAGAAGGTGTTGGGACCCTGGGAGACCTTATATTTACCGACATATCTAGGGATTTGCAGGTATCACTTAAAGAAGGTGTTGGGACCCTGGGAGACCTTATATTTACCGACATATCTAGTTGAATACGTAGTAGAAAATTTAGGCTTGGTCTGAAGGTTGCTTCAGGCTTCTGTGAGGGAATTCGCGTTCGAGAGGCAAAAACGAAAGCTTTTACCGTCAAAGATAACAGAGGGGAATGTGCGTTTGCTACATGTTTATTTGCAGTTCTCCATTATAGTCCCCTCAAAAGTTGTCTTCTAAACACTTCTTTCCTTTTGACTTTTTACAGTATACAAGAAACACTACACACCTGCTCTAAAGGATGAGGTTTGGCGATTGGAAAAAATCGGGAAGGATGATTCATTCCACAAGCGGTTGAATAAATCTGGAATTTTAACAATTGAAGATTTTCTTTGAGGTTTGTAATCTTCATATTGTTTTCATCTTGTGTTTCAGACTTTATGAAATTGGCAGTATATAGTTAATTGCTTGATATTATTTGGATAATGACATATCATTAGAAAACAACATAAGAATCTAAACAGATTTACATAGAGGATGGTGGAGTTTGTAGTATATTTGAACATCCTTAGAGGTTACTGTTGAATATGGCGAAGACAGATCAAGTGGATTGGTCAAATACATGAATTCAACAAATACCTGTGTAATTTATGTGAAATCATTGGCAACTAATCACTATTGTATTTGTGCAATTGGTAAATTTGAAGATATTTTCTTCAATTTCTTTATTGTAGAGATGTATTCTCGACATAGATGTTCAGGGTGCTAGATGAATGAGGGCAAGTTCTCTTGAAGTGATTTTTGTATTTATCTTCCCCCCATCATTTGATGAGCTTGAGAAGCGCCTTTGCTCTCGGTATATAAGAGATTTTAGAGTATTTTCAAAAGTGTAACTCACTATGCAGACATACATTCTCTTATATTATAAATCTTATGTAGTGTATTTGTGTCTTATTGTGCTTTATGTAGGGGAACAAAAACTGAGGAACAAGTTCAAAAGAGGCTAAGAAATGCGAAAGTTGAGCTCGAGCAAGGAAGAGCCCCAGGTCTTTTTGACCATGTTTTGGTTAATGATGACCTTGAAACGTGCTTTTATAATATGAATGTTCTTTTTTCCCTTTCTCTCTTTACATAAAGTCGTACATTTTAATATTCTAAAGTCTTATGTTTTGCAAGACAATTCTGTAATAAAATTTCTGTTCCATGCAGAAATGACTTGCCTAGATGAAACCCTTGATGTCTCTTATGATTCAGGTAACTTATGTTGTCATAAACTTCTTCTAGCATAACAAGTCACAGAAAGAGAAGAGGGGGAAGAATTATATTACTAATGGTTCATTTATTTTTCTTTTCATTTTTTTGTTCCAGTTTGTTGAAATTATTAATTTTTAATAATATCATTAATGTTGAATTCTCTTGTATCTTGCAGCATTGGACAAAATTCCTCTTATTCATTCTGTGTCTAAAAAGGATCAGAATCTTCTGATAAACTGTGGCAGGGGCCAATTTGAATCTTCAACACCTAGCATGTATGTTGATTTCACTATGCTCTGGAGATCAATACTTGAACCATTCATTTTAGTTAATTCAAGTTGATGCTTCTCTTGTAGGTTTTTCCTCAATGTATCTTCAATTAAAAGAGGAGCTCCTAGCCAGACAAGAGTGTTTTCGTCGAAAGTTGCCTTCATCATTGATTTCATTAAAACTTCAAACGTTACAAATAAATTCAAACAACGAAGAAATAAAAATTACAACTTTCTTGAAAATAAACACAAGATCCGTTCGTCGTCTCTTGCTTGCGTGGGTCTTTAGCCTGTGACGGGGACGTCGATATCCGTGGACTACCTGGCAATCAGATCTGATCCAGAGCTTCGTTGATCCGCGAGGAGATCTAGAAACTTGAAGCGCCTATCTCGATAAAAGCGAGATATTTGCTCTTCTTAATATTACCACAACGGGATAATACTAAGGATCGGGTACGGGTGATGTAAATCTGACGAAGAACTCTCTTGCGTTGAAGTGCTAAATCACTCTTCAGTCCGGCAGGGCTTCGCTAATTCTCCAAAAATCCAGATCTGAAAAAATGAGGTCTAAGGCTTGTATTTATAGGCATGAGGGGTTGCGGAGCGGTTAAAACCACTTAAAGGGCCCAAATCCGCACTGAGACACCCTAGGGGTGTCTTGGCCTGGCCGAGACACCCTTGGGGCATCTTGACTTGGCCGAGACACCGTAGGTGCCTCAGTTCAGCTTTGAGACGTTTTCAATGCCTGTTTGACTGTTTTCGCTGTAACTTCTTTGTCTGAACTCGGATCTGAGTGATTCCAAATGCGTTGGAAGTCTGACGAAGAATTCTATCAGTTCCAATGGTTAGATTATCTATAGAATGAACGAGACACGAAGGGTGTTGTTCCTTTTGTAAACATCGCGGGGTTCTCGATTAGCCTGTGCCTTCGTTATTCCGAAATTCTGTCAGTTCACGTAGTTCGTCGATTCACTTCAAACGTTCACCGACGTCAATTGAACTCCTGTGAACCAGATAGTGATGTTCATTGTCGTTCTTTAACACTGAGCTGTTCGTGGAGACCTATGGGCAATTTTCGATGCCTACAGATACCCCCTCCAAAGTGTTCCAGACTCGTTTCTTTTATAGAAGAGGCTGGAATACTTTGGATGTGATTGATCCAGCCTTCAGTCGGCGTAAAGGACCTGTAGTTAGCTTCAACTCTTGGCTCCTTCGATTTTCGGTCTATTCGATGCTTTGACGAATAACTGAAGTTCTTCCGGCGCTGCGTTCATCGCCTGGCCGTCGTCGAAATCTCGAGTCTATCACTAGTGAGTTGAGTTTGGCTTGTGTCATTGAGTTGACTTTGAATTGACTATCTCTGTCATATTATGCTGACTTAAGGTTTCAGATTATCGTATGTTGACTTTTGGTCACAACGCGTTGACTGGCGTTGACCTAGGGTTAGGCGTTGACCGGCGTTGACCCTAGGGTTTCGAACGTCGAACGTTAACTTTTTGATCGTAACGCGTTGACTGGCATTGACCTAGTGTTACGCATTGACTGGCGTTAACCCTAGGGTTTCGAACATCGAACGTTGACTTTTTGGTCGCAACGCGTTGACTGGAGTTGACCTAGGGTTATGCGTTGACCGGCGTTGACCCTAGGGTTTCGAACATCGAATGTTGACTTTTTGGTCGCAACGCGTTGACTGGAGTTGACCTAGGGTTATGCGTTGACCGGCGTTGACCCTAGGGTTTCGAACATCGAATGTTGACTTTTTGGTCGCAACGCGTTGACTGGCGTTGACCTAGGGTTATGCGTTGACCGGCGTTGACCCTAGGGTTTTGAATTGCTCGGTATTGATTAGTGTGGATTTCGTCGAAATATCCAATAACTGACGAAAATAGGTAAATTCGGACTCGAAAAAAAAAAGGTTCGGGGGACTCGAATTGGGTTGAGACACCCAAGGGTGTCTTAACTTGGCCGAGACACCCTTGGGGTGTCTCGGTTTGACCGAGACACCCTTGGGGTGTCTTGGCCAAAACCGAGACTCCCCCCCCCTTTTTTTGTTGTTTCCTCTTTTGCTTTCTTTCTTGTTTTGATTTTATTTCCTCTTTTGTTTTCTTTCTTGTTTTGATTTTATTTCCTCTTTTGTTTTTCCCCTTCTTTCCATATTTTCAAAAGAGATTCACTTTCCCTCTCAAACTCTTTCTTCCTCCTTTCATCCCTCCACCATTGTTTCCTTCTCCAAACCCATACAAAATTTCGGATTTTGGTGTTCTTCTTGGCCGAAAAATTTCTTCCTCTCAAAGCTAGGGTTTCATCACCTTCAAGCTCTAGGAAAAGCTTCTTGATTTGGTAAGTTCCCTCTCAAAACTTTCTCCTCCTTTTTGAAAAGATTATAGCTTCATGCCAAGATCATGTCTTTTTGTCCTCATGGGTTGGATTTCATGAAAAAGATAGGCTTTTGATGATGGGTTGTGAGTATGAACCCAAAATTTGGGGGTTTTATGCAAAACTTGCCATATGGCCGAAATTGGGGGGCTTTTATGCAAAAGTGGACTGAAATTTGAGGGGTTTTTTTGCAAAGTGGGCTAAAATTTAGGACTGAAATTTTAGCCCCCTTTGGCCGAAAATTGAGAGGTGTTGGTATGCGAAAGATTCAATGTTGTTTGAGGGGTTTATTTGCAAAAGAGCAATCCCACAAAGTATAGGGGGTTTATTTGCAAAAGGGATGAAATTTCAGGACTAAAATTCCAAAAGTTTAGATCACAAACCTATGACCAAATTTTTGAGAAAGGTGTGCGGAAACTAAACCGAAATTTGTGGAGGGGTCTATTTGCAAGATTGGCTAAATTTTACAAAAAGGGTTTATTTGCAAAATTAACCAAAATTGTGAGGTATTGAGGGTGCTATATGATCAGATATGATGACCATGACCCAACTCAAGCGTGTCCTTGACCTGAATTTAGCCTTGAACACGAGGGGTGTTTTGGGTATTTCACCAAAATTTACCGCGAAAATGACAATCATTGTTTCGCATGCACGAAATTTGTAGGTTTAATTAGACTTCAACTATAAAATCCTATTTATTCATAGGACTTTAGTTCAAGTTCTTAATTTCCCTTTTATATTTCGTGTATTCATATTTTAGATTGTATCTGACTTGCTGCTTTTCATCGCAGGTTTTCGATGCCTCCACGTCGACCTCGACCTCCTAGGAGTCGCTCCCGTTCGCAGCCTAGCGAGGAAGAAGTTCCGACTTGTTTTGCTTAGCCAATTCAAGTCTTCTGGTATATTGGGGCGATCTCGTGTCGTCTTACACCTTATAGGTCGGCGTATGTTACCACGTTATCTACGTGGTGATGCATACCGTTCTTCCAGTGTAGGACACCCAAAATCGTCTCCCCAATTATCCCGTGAATGATCTTATCTCGCTTTTTATGAGATGGATTTTCTGACTCTATCCTTGTGTTTTGTTGCAGTCGAGTTCCCCGCGGGCAGCCTCCCTCATCATGCCCCTACTGGTTGTAGCGGGGAAGTCTTCTCTTCGGTTTCCATCAGGCAGGCCATTGGTCCACTCCCTCAGTTCGACAGAGACCGCTCCGACGAATCCTGTCGTTTGATACGGGATGGAGGGCGCCATTGCTTACGCCAGTTGATTACGGATGCTTTCTTTACTGTAGATTCTACTTCTACTCAGGCTTTAAAGAAGCCCAGTTTTCTGTTCGGAGATCACACTGAGGATCCTGCTACGTTGACTCTTATCGAGGAGCATTGGCTGACTCTCAACGAAGGAGCTCTCCTATATATTCCCTCCATTCCTCGTCAGTAATCTTTCACTCATTTGGAGGGACAGGCCGTGGAGCGACAGATGTCTTGGCATCTTACCGATGATGCTGAGCGAGTTCAGTGTGGATATACCTCTCATCATAAGACTCCTAGTTCTGCTGGGTATCATTACATCCGCGGTCTTCGACCAGGAATTACGGGTCTTAATACTGCACCCCCAGGCGAGGTATCAGCAGCCGCTCCTACCGTGAAGAACCGTCTGGCTCATCTTGGGAGGAGATTACCTCCACCAGATTATAGATGCTATGGTTGGGCTTTCTCACTACCCAAGGGATGGTGGACACGCATGACCAGTTACGTCTTGGGGCGCTGGGAGAAGGATTTGAAGAGCAGTGGATTGTATGCACCTATACGAGCCACCATGTATGGACTCCCGGTCAGCTACAGCCATTTCTTGGCGTTGTTGGAGACATACATGCCCGACAGTAACACGTTCCTGACCAGCGGCGGAGAGTTAGGGTTGGCCTTACACGAGATGTATCAGGTTTCTGGTCTTCCGATGGGGGATTGTCCATACCAGGAGTACTTTCCCTCGAACCAGCAGTTGGAGTGGTTGAAGAAGGATACTCCCGATATGTACGATACTCTTTGGGACCTCACCTGCCATTATCATACCTCCTTGATCAAGATTTCTCCTCCAGCGAAGAGGAAAAAGCAGATCAGCTTGAAGCAGTTTGCTGTCTATTTGTTCCCGAATTTGGAGGGTGATTCCGGCGAGCCCCTTCGTGAGTTAGACGTCTTGACCCCTACTGTCATTAACGAGTTGATGGAGAAGGCTGAGGCTCGTTCTTACACCATTGCCAGTGCTGAGGGAGCTTTTCCTGCAGGAACCAAGTTTCGTTCGTTCCTCCGCCGTGCACAGAAGTCCATTGAGCCCCGGACTCTGCTAGCAGGCTATCTTGCCCTCTGGTTGAAGAAATGTGTTGTTCCGTACCAGTTCTCAGACGCCTTACCTCTCGAGGTGCTCTTCCCCGCAGTTCAGCTGGCTTATGGGAGGGAGCTTTCTCTGCTCCCAGCGATGGTTGCTGGCATCCATTGCGGGCTTAGGTGTCTGGTCAGCAGTTTTACACAGGTGGGTTCTGAACCATCGACCGAGCTTATTTGTCCGAAGGTCGAGCTTCCTTATGCGTACCTGATGGCGTGGCTTGTTCTTTACCGTCCTGACTTGATGTCGACGCCCAGCGTTGTTGATGTCCCCGTTCCTTTCGTGCAGCTGTTGGAGAGGATCAGATGGCTCGGGAAGAAATTCAGTGATGTACAACGAGAACTTCAAGTTCGTAAGAGCTGGGAGTTCTTCAAGTGTTTTCCTCACTTTTCGGGTCGCTATGGTGACGTGCTGATTGACGAGGAGAAACCTAGAAGTGACCGGACTGTTCTCGACGTTGGTTGTTTCCGCTGAACAAAGATGATGAAGAGCTCCTTCCTACTGATGATGATGACGAGACTTCTGCGGAGGAATATGTGGATACAGATACTGACAAAGAAGAACTTGATGCAGGTTTGTCATGCTCTTTAACCTTCTTTCTCAATTTCAATTGGTATCAACAAAAGGTCTTATTCACTCGTCCTAACGAAATGACTCTTATCACCCCAGGTAGGACATCCGATGAGCACGAGTCGCTCGCTGCTCGTTATGCGAGACCCAGGCCTAGCGGCAAAGCTCCTACACAGGTTGCGACGCGTGGCAAGTCTACGCACGAACGACCCGTTGGTTCTATGAGAGCTGGTACTCCGAAGAAGAAGAAGACTGCTCATAAACCACACGTCGGCCAGCGTCCCTATGGAGTGGATTTAGGAGACATCGCCGATGGAGAGGAAGGTAACATTTCGTTATTTTCATTGCTTTAAGATGTCTCACCTTCTGGGATTCGTAATCATGTTTTATGTTCCAGGGTACTATGACGAGGGCGAGCTTCCACCGGACTCCGTATTCCCTGATTCTGATAATATGGATAACTTCATGCAGCAAATGTGCGACGCCATTCGGGATGGTTCCCTGGGTATTGATACGAACATTGACACCGAGCAGGCTAATAGTGTCAAGCCCACCACTCCATGTCCAGGTATATCTAAATTCGATGATACCCTCTGATACCCTCATCGAGTAGCATTTGGCGGAGTTAGAGAAATCAGGATTCATTATTTTTTGTGCCTCGCATTCTTTCAGATTTCCTGAAGAACTCAAGCATGGATATTGGGGAACAAGGATCTTCTGTTCCGGCTGCAGGTACTTCTGAGCTTTTCCTTCTTTCCCATCTTCTTGTATATATATCCAACACTTAAACTATTCTGCAGATGTCGTGATAGAAAAGCCAGTTGAGGATCAGACCTTTCATGATGTGGGTTTCGAGGAACAGAGGTGTGCCTCTGCACCAGGTTTCTCGGGACCCGACGCTGGATTATTAGTTGATATGCTGGCTGAGCAGGCCACCAGAAGAACCGTGGGACCACCCTTTGAGAGTGATTCATTCACAGGTATATATCTGATTTCTTTCATTTTGCCTGATCCTTTGTCTAACTAAGGAAGGATTAATATTACAATGCCAGTCATTGTGACTGATTCAGTAAGACTCCCCAGCACATCTAGTTTACCTCAGAGTGACGGACTCGCAGGTATGCAGACGACCTTTGGATGTCGTGTTCCCTTTTATCTGATTTTTTTTTTGACTAATAGAGGGGTGTAATCATAGGACCAGCCACTGGGACTGATACCTTTATGACTTCTGGCATCCCTCTTGCATCTGAGGACGATGGACTTGCAGGTATGCATACGATCTTATCATCCCAATTTTCCTTATTTGTCCAAATTTTCATTTTGACTAATAAAGACATGTAACTCTAGGACCAGCCGTTGTGCCTGATGCCACTACAGTTTCTGGGACTGATAGTTTGCCTGAGAGCGGTGTCTCCCCGCCACAGCCGAGAGGTATGACCGATTTGCCTACAGGGGTTGATATACCCTCCATGACTACTCCTGCAGTTATTTCGGAACCTGTCGGATCTCAGCCTGAGGGGACCTCCGTTGGCATTGGTATGCTCGGAATTTGCCTTTAAATTTTCTTATCGTATTCGATAATCTCTTAACTTTCCATACTGTTGTTTGTAGGATCTCGATCATCTCTATATGAGCATGTTCGCGCCCTCTTGGCCGATACCGATCCTGACAGAGACATTTTACGTACAAACCTCGGCTTTTTTACCGCCTTTTTTAACGGCATGATCGAGAAACTGCTTCATCGAGGATATTGTTTTGATCAGTTCAGGCGTTCCTTTTCTCGTCACATGATGATGTTTATAGAAGAAGGGTATCCGGGGTTAGCTGATTCTTTCATTGCCGATTTTGCTGCTCTGGAGTCGGAGATCCGAGAGTTGAAGGAATTGAAGGCAAATGGAGCTTCTTCCTTCGTGTCCTCTCAGATGGAGCATAGGCTGGCATAGTGGCGCGACCTGAGATCTTCCATCGGCAGTGAGCTTCAGTCACATGAGCATTCAGTTGCGCAGCTGATGGCTACCGTGGTGAGGAAGGATACAGATAGGGCCGAGCTACTCCGCTCTTTGGATTCCGACCGCGAGGAAGTGGCTAGGTTGAAGGAGGCCTTGAAGCACGCCGAGGAGTCCATTACTATCATTACAGAAGACCTGGATGGAGTAGAGCATTCTCGTGGACAGGCCCTCGAGAAGCTAGGATCTACACAGGAGAGATTGATGAAGCTGAAGAATGAAGCCGTGAAGATCTTGAGCAGTTCTGAAGAATCCGTCCGAGCTGGCCTGCAGGCAGAACTTGAGCAGAGTTATATAGATAGGCTTTCTAGTTTAGAGTCTCATATTCTTAGCCGTCAGCTGCCTTCGGGCTAACGAGCTTTTTATTGTATGCTTTGACTTGATCTATTAATAGAGACTCCGCATTTGATTCCTTTATGGTATTTCTTTATTTATTTTGAACTCAGCGATGATAAGATTTATGGGATTTTTGGCAAACCCCCAGCCATCAACGGGTTTGATATGTCTTTACCGATTACCGTTTGAATCGGACTAGCATGTGAATTATTAAAACCCGCCTCACATGTAACGTTGTGCTAAGAGAATTGCTTTTCTTAGGCTTGATGCTATGACTTTGAATACATAGACTTAACCATTTTTTTTATAGGGAAAAGGTACCCCGCGCCGTGTACTAGACGACGACTTATCCCTTCTTAGGCTTCGGGATAAAATTCCCCAGGTTTAGACCCTAGTGTCTTTTTCAATCGGCGAAAGACTAAACCGGCAATGCGTGTTAGACATAGACTTTGGGATTCTTGACAAACCCCCAGCCTTCAACGGGTTTGATGTGCCTTTACCGATTACCGTTTGAATCGGGCTAGCATGCGGATTGTCTAAACCCGTTTCACATGTAACGTTGTGCTAAGAGAATTGCTTCTCTTAGACTTAATGCTATGATTTTGAATACATAGACTTCGTCTTTCTCACGGGAAGGAATCTTTCGAAGAATTCTTTATTGAATACATCCCTCGTCTCCAGAACGCTTATGCAGACGCACTGGCGGCACTAGCAGTATCACTGGCACAGCCTCCCGAAGCTGAGCTGTTAGTCACAGTACGGACGCATCAACTCTGCGTACCCATATACAGTACGGAGATTGAAGAAGAAGAGGATAGAAACGTGAACGCCAAAGAGGTGAATTCAACTCAAATTGGGTCTGAGTCCCGAGATTGGCGTTTTCCTATCATCGACTACGTCCAATATGGTATCTTGCCAGAGGATGTAAAAGAAAAGG